CACATTGTTCTAAAAAAATGGCATATCCTGACTGGTTTATAGTTAATAGTGTATTGGCATCCACACAATGGGAAAAACAGCGTAAGTGATCAATGCGTTTTTTCCTTCCACCGGAAATCGAAGGATGCTGCCATCTATACCATGGTGCATTCATGGGCATGGGAAAACAATGCTTGGCAACCAACGTTAAGCCCACTGGAAAGAACTAATAAAACAGGACAGGAAAAAAAATATATATGTATATATATATACATACATACCAACAAAATAACCTAGGTTACAATTGCATTAAGAATAAAAAAAATCAACAATTATTAGAACAAATCATTTGTAAATTTATGTTGAAAGCAGATATTTAAACATATGATTTCCAAACAAGGGTACTTGTACAGTTACAAAAGGGGAAGATGAAAAGCAGCCAATGAAAAATAAACACAATTAGGATTTCAAATTGCAGCAATGCTGATCTTTTGTTATACTCTCTATATTAGGGTCAGGTTTAGGATCCCAGTATGCAGGACAGACCACCAACGAAGTTAAAAATTTTTATTAGCACAATGGTACGAATGTCAGAAGTTAATGGTTCAGGCTGAGGTAGGGGATCTGTCAAGGTGGACCAAGGCCCTCCGCTGGAGAAGTGAGGCACAGGACAGCGTCAGGACGAGTAGAGGCTGGCCTGAAGGTTGGTTCCTGAGGAAGGACTGGTTCCCTGTTGGGACTGGACCGACATGCGAAGAGTTGACTGGCAGGCCCCAGTGTCGAGTGAAGTACTCTGGTAGTTCAGGAGCTACAGGGTATGGGGCTGTGAAGACCACCAGATCAGGGCAGGAGGACGGGATGAGGAAGTTGTGAAGGATTAGCACCTAGAAAGCTGAGCAGAGTGGCAGGAAGAGTTGGTTAGTGTTGATTTCGCTGAGTAGGATGACACAGGAGTGCTGCAAGGAGCTGGACCCAGCACCCTGGAGAAATATCGCCAGGCAGGCTGATTGGAGAAGCGTCTGGTGGACTGAGAGTTCAGAGCAGAGTTGAGTAGCGTGTAGCAGCTGCAGCATAGAGAGGCACCAGCCAAAACTCGGAGGAGATGGTTTGTCTGATGAGCTGAGTCAGTGTTGAACTGGCCACAAACGGAACTCGGGGTGAATAGGTGTCAGAGAAAAAGCAAACAAGGAGAGGAGCGTACTGAGAGAATAGGACTAGCAAGAGAGGAGACCGTGAGCTGGTAGGCTAGGAACCACAGAGACTGGGAGATCTGCTAAACAGGTACGAGACAGAACTGGAAACAGGAAGGCTTCAAGACAAGTGAAAGGAAAAACTTTTGGGAAGAAAGCCGGCCGGCAATACCTCTTGAGGGCAACTAACTGACTGGTAGAGAACACAGCTGAGGTCAGGCTATATACCAGTGAGACAGTTGGCTCCAGCTGTGCAAATTCCTGCCAGCCACGTCTATTAGCTTGACCACATCTGTCCAGAGAGGGAGAGAGACAGAAGCTGACATGTGGCCTAACAGTATATGTCTCAGTAAGCAATGAAGTACCACCTATGATGAGCCGACTGCACAGAACACACTGGCAGAATACTACTGTATCACCTTAGCACTACCTGCTGTGATGGAGAGTACATGAAAACCAGTTTCACAAGTCAAGCAGAGATGGATAAATATACTTAAAATTATGGTGTAATTGTTGAAATGTCAGCTACTGTCTCTTGAAGTAGTAGTAGTATGAATGCAAACATGAACACTGAACAAAAGAAAAATTTAACAAACTTTAACATCAGCAATTTCAGGATCATTATTGCAGTCATTTCTATGTAATTAATAGTGTCAAATATCACCAAGTTTAAATTTTATTTAAATGAACATATTTGTGACATGAGGTGTTAATGAGTATGTGAGATCAGCTTATAGGGTTGTGGGTGCCAGATAGAAAAGTTGAGAGCCACTAATTTAGTCTCATCTGTGTGACTTTACAGGGTGCTATCATCCCCAGCCTGCTGGCTAACAGCAGCTATGTGGTGCAGGTTTTGGCTGTTTGTACTAATGGACTGAGAGGACGCTGGAGCGACCAGATTATAGTTGATATGCCATTAGAAGACCCTGGTACAAACACACAGAAAAATTATTTAACTGTTACAGTCACTACAGTTTTAAGTAAGTCTTTATTTCTTTCCACTCTTTAGAAAGTGATTCTAATACTGACATGGTCACAAAAGGCTTGGAAGGCAACAGAGAGGTAGGACAGTCTGTGCATCTGTCACCACTCTGCACGTTAGCATTAATTTTGCTGAACTGTTTTGTGGAGCTTAAGTTTTCCCTTTATTTAATCATATCAGTGAATGTAATTATTATGCAATTTATTGTAATTATGTCAATAAAGGTTTGCCGATCTATGTTTGAAGAGCTGTACAAAAAGTTCTATGCAACTTTCCAGCTCGTTTAGGAAAGATTACAAAATTCAGGCACAACACTGTACTGCTATCAGGTTTTTCTCACTGACACAACCACTGAAGCCTGTTCTATGTTGAAGAATCAACACAACTGCACCACCACTGTGAATTTGCTAGAATGTTTATAATCACTAATTTAAGGAAGAACTGGTGAGACAGGATAAAAAAATTTTCCCCCATCATAATGATATACAGTATAAAACCCAACATCTCCACATAGCCATGCTCTTTTCCTCCTGACAGGTCTCATCTAAAGCCATACGGGAGAAACCCAAGAACCAAAATCAGGTGGATTTGTCTCCAGAAGACCATATCCCAGTAGAGCAGACCAGAGTTTACCAGGATCTTGCGGTCCGGGTCAGCATCCATTCAACACCAAAACCCCCCTCTGACTCTGCTGTTCTACTGAAAACCCGACTGCGAAATGTGAAAAAGAAAATGGTTACAAACAGAACTAAACCAGATGATATGGATCAGAAATGGATTGATGAGGATCAGAGGATCTCAACACACCGGCTGTTCACTAATGTGGGTTATGAAAGCAACAGTGCAGTCTGGGTAACTGAGGTAACTAAACAGCCACGGTTACTGTTTCCGGATGTTCAGAGCACCCTGCCAATGATCCAACGACAAATTACAGAAGAGGCATTGTTGTCCATAGTACCACATCAGGTAGTTGAATTGACTCCTTTTTTTCTCTTTTTAAACCTGATCACATTGAATGTTTAATGTTGAAACAAACAGACTAAATGTAATGCAGTGTTTCCTGTAGTTCATTCAAAATGCCAGAAGATTTTGCTTTAATTCAATCTTGTCCAAAGATGTGTCTCATGTTCTTGTAGTTTCTTCATTCAAGAACCTTCACTGTCTCTTCTACATACAGTCAAAGGATTTCAGTCCTCCAGATCAAGTTGGTGAAAGTGCCCTCCCTTCTCCTCAGTCATACCTGTACCACCGTCCTGTGGAGGGCATACAAGTCACAGACATCTTCTATGAAGACACAGTTAACAATTCTCCACTGGAATCCACCACCTCTGCTGCTGCTGTGGTACCAGGTCAGATTTGACAGGAAGAGATTTTTATTTTTTGACAGTCTTGTTTACCAAAAATGGATCAGGTTGGTACTGCTACATCAGCACTTTTGTGCAGAGCCAGGGAGAAATTTAGGATTGTAAATGATTAAATAGGTACCAGTAGAAAATTTTGTTCTGCTGGATGCTTGTCACTGATCAGTCTTATGGAGACATCCTGCTCTGACATGGCATCGACATGTTTAGATCTTGTGTTAACTTTTTCATTTTACATTTAAACATGTTTTCTTAACATTTAAATGTATGCTTTTAAAAATGTCTTCAGATAATAGTATTAACAGCTACTGCTATTCGGATAACTTAAGCTGTAATCATTGTAAGGAATGAATGTGCAGTACTGATGTATTTGCATTTGCTAACTGTCTGAAAAACCTAGAGAAATAGACGAAATTCATTATTTAATTATTATTCATTCAGATTTTTCCAGTAGTATTCCATACATGTTTTGTCAGTAATTCCTGAATTTTGTTGTAAATATGAAGGTCTTAAAATTGGAAATTTACAATATGTTAGTTTTCTTTATCTTTTTTGTATTGTTTGAACATATGTACACAGCATTGTGGATCTGAATTTGTAGCGTCTTGTACAGTAAGCTTGTGCTAGGTTGGGCATATGCATGTGTGACATAATCATCATAAATTCATTTATGGATATGAATCATGTAATGTGATATCTCATTACTTCACATGACATCCCACATTACATTATATTATGTCAGGACTTCTGTCAGGTTAGGCTGTCTTATTTCATCTCATGTCACTCACATCATATTGTGACAGTTCATTATGCTATATTACAAGCAGAGTCACATAAGGTCATATAATGTCATATCATGAGAAATCACGTCATGCCATGTTGGGCCATGTCATGTTGTCTCACTACTGTATATCACCATGTCATGTCATCATTATGTATATTTTGTCCCACAGGTAAAAAAATGGACAAAGACTCCCTGCTGTCATCTCTACCAAAAACCCTCACTTCAGATTCCTCCACCCCCTCCTCTCGCTGGATTACATCAAGGACGGCCATTGCCAGTAACACACTCACTGATTCAGTCTATAAACCATTCACCACTACTTCTCTTCTCAAGGTGCTGATACATACAACCCAGCCCATGTTCAATGGTAAGAACACCTAAGAACACTGTCTCTAGAAATATATCTCATTTAACATAAAAATATTTCACCTCTTGTTAAAAATGGTATAAATACATGTTGTTGTGGTGGGTAGAGAATCAGACCTAATTGTGGTGGATAGTTGTCTTTCTCCTTTAATAACTCAGTATTTTGCATCTAACCACTGTTGTGATTTGTGGTTGTGGTATTTTTTGTAAAGTGACATGATGTTGATAACAGCAGTGGTGAAGGTTAGTGGTGGTAAGGATGATGGCTGAAAAGCATAAGGTGGCATTGATGATTAGAGTGGTAATCAACAGCTTGCTTATTCTTTGAACTGGTTCAGAATTTTTTTTTATATTATGTTTAAGTTTTTCAATTTTCAGTTTACAAGCAACAAGAGCACTACACTAGAAATAAAAAGCACAAACAAAAACAAAAGTAAAAGGCTGCCAGACAGAGTGATGGTTAAGTGCAACTGACCCATAGTAATCATGCTCTGATTGCACATTCACAGCACTGTAATATTTTGATGTCAGTGTATAGTGCCCTGGTCATCATGGGTTGGGGGTGATATGGCACTGAGTCAAGAAGGTCCCCCAGATTCTCTCATGTCCATTTTGTTTGCCGGGCCTTTCCAGGTGAAAGCATTCCATTTGTATCACAGACACCATTTCCTTTAGCCAATATTCAAAGCTGGGTGGGGTAGTGGATTTCCAGGTCAACAGTATAAGTTTTTTCGCAACCACCATCCCAAGCTGCAGAGCTGTCTGCATGTCAGACGTAAGTCCAAGAGCCTCTGTGGAGCATCCAAATATTGCCAGGTCATGATTGGGTTTGATGTCCCTGGAATAGCATTTAGAAAACCATTTGAAAATGGCAGACCAAAGTCCAAACAATTGTGGACAAAACCAAAACAGATGAACTAAAGAACCCTCTGCAGAGTTGCATTTATCACATTGAGAGGACACTGATGGGAAGATCTGGCTCAGATTTGTCTTTGAGTAGTGCGGCCTGTGAATTACCTTATACTGAATAAGTTTGTAGCGGGTATTAATGGAACAAGAATGAACCTGATTCATGTAAATCTTTTGCCCAGGCTTCACAAAGATAATCAGAGGAGACCGGAACGGTGAAACAGTCTACAAATTTTGAGATTAAATGTTTGGAGTCGGGAGCAAGCATTAAGTTGTCATAGAAAGGGTGAGAGGATGGAAGAGATTCAAAATGCTCAAACCTGTGTTTTACAAAATCCCTTATTTGAAGGTAGCGAAAGAAATGTGAATTTGGGATGTCATACTTATTACATAGTTGAGCAAATGATGCAAAGTACCCTTTAATATACAGATCTGACAAAGTTGCAACACCTTTCCTCTTCCAGATTGTGAACGCTCCATCGAGCTGCCCAGGTTTGAATAAGGGGTTTTGACAGATGGGAGCATGTGTAGACTCTCTAGGAATCCTATTGGCTACTTTAATCTGTCGTAAAATTCGCAGTGAGTTCCTTAACACAAAATTTGACTGAGTTGATTTATCCAGAGTGGGAAAATTTAACCAGAGTGGAAAAAGAAAACAACCATGTACAAAAAGAGACTTTATCAACAGGTGATGTTTCAAGTTGTAACCAAGAGGGAATGTTCTCTTGTCTCTCCTCTGATGACTCTCCATGATTCCAATAAGTGAGAGCTCTGGAGTTAGCTGCCCAGTAGTAATGTTTCAAAACTGGGATACCCTCTTCTGTTGATTTATGTATGTGGGCTTTGGATATTCTGTGTGCTTTGTAGCCCCACACAAAGGGCAATATAATAGAATCAAGATTTTTTTAAAAAGATGCACTTAGGTAAATGGGTAAATTTTGAAAAAGGTACAAAAATCCGGGCAAAGTAACCATTTTGATCGCCTTTACCCGTCCAATCATTGATAAGGGCAGTGTCCTCCAGGCCTCAATATTGACTTTAAGCTTTTCCACCAACTCAGCAAAGTTAGCCTTAAAAAGGTGTTTCGGATTCTTTGTCAGCTTTAGCCTCAGGTAGTTGAAGTGATCAGTCACTACTCTAAAAGGCAAGTTTTCTAGAAATTCAACAGGAAGATTGTCCACTAAAGGTAGAACTTCACTCTTTTCCCAGTTTATTGTGTAACCAGAGATTCTACCGAAAGAGTTAATATAATCCAGAAGGGCGGGAATGGACGCTTGAGGGTCGGCTAAACAAATCAAAAGATTATCAGCATACAATGTCACACAGGTCTCAGTACTGCCCAGTCTGATGCCCTTGATGTCTGGGTGTGCTCTGATCCCTACTGCTAGGGGTTTCAAGTGCAATGTCAAACAACAGTGGAAACAATGGGTCCCCCTGTCGCACTCACCGTTGCAAGACGAATGGTTTAGATCTGTTCCCATTTGTAAGAATGGAAGACTTAGGATTTGTGTACAAACTTCTGACCCATTCAATAAACATTATTGAAGCCAAATTTTTTCAGTGTTGCAATGAGGTATGGCCACTCAATCATGTCAAAGGCCTTGTCATGATTCACGTGTATTATATAGAACAATCGGGATGGTGTTAAATCCCCCGCAGCCTGTTTGTCTGGAAGCAACGGTTGAACAATGTAATAAGTTTTTAGTTTATTTTAATGAGAAGGTTGCTACTACAAAGGCCACTGTGGTAGGGTTAGTGCCCGATCCTTCGGTCTTTACTCCTTGTTTGACTACTTTTGATGTTTTTGAGCCGGTATCTTTTTTGGAGGAAGTGGTTGCCCAGGCCACGCCTTCTGGCTCCCGTCGAGATGTCGTTTCTCCGGCTTTATTTAAGGAAGTCTTCCCATGTATTGGAGGCACGACTTTGGAAATTATTAATAGTAGTTTATCTTCTGGTGTTGTGCCTGGTTATTTTAAGCATGCAGTTTTGCAACCTCTACTCAAAAAGCCACGTCTGGATAAATCCATGTTGGGTAATTTTAGGCCTATTTTTAAGTTACCTTTTATCTCGAATATTTTAGAAAAAGTGGTCAATGCGCAGGTGAAATCCTTTTTAGATGAGAATAACTTATTGGAGGTTTTTCAATCTGGTTTTAATCTCATGCATAGTACAGAAATTACTTGTCCTCTGACATACACTTTAAGAGTCTTTCACAAAGTTGAATCATTGACTTCACCATTGTCATTAGTCTCAAGGAATATAGAAATCTGGTTAGTGATATGTTTTTTAAAGGTTTGGTCAGTGAGTAACAAAGGGATAAAGCGCCAGCCATACGACTGTTTGGGGAGGAATAGATTAAGGTTTAGACTAACCGGGCTGTGGTCTGATATTACTATGTTGTGGTACTTACTGTTGTCAATATTGGGGATTAGTCTGGAATCAACTAGAAAGTAATCAATCAGTGTGTGGGAATAAAATGAGTAGTCACGATCAGTTGGGTGCTGTAGCCTCCAGACATCCACAGTTCTCTTTGTTTTGATTAAATTGTTTAGAGTTTGCACTGCAAGAATGTTAGGTGGGGGGGCTGTGGAAAGCCTGTCCAAGTATAGATTGAGATAGCAGTTAAAATCTCCCCCTATTATTATATGATTTGAATCTTCGTCTGGTATTATATCAAACACTTTATGAAAAAACGCAGGGTCATCAGAATTTTGGCCCATATACTGGGAATAAGTTGATAAGACCATTTACTATAATAAACCTACCATTGGGGTCAGTTGTAGAAGACTTAAAGCTAAACAGCACAACAACAAAAGAAATTCTGGTTAGTTCTAGGCAGAAGCATAGAAGGATTTGCTTAGGTTTAAAGAAAGGTCATGGGATAAATTAACTACTTATTAATGTACAGTAAAAGCATTGTCTTGAAGTGGCCTGTAGTGCTGTCCAGAGGGGAGGAGTTCAAACAGATTGTGTCCAAGGTGTGAGGGGTCTGCAGAAATCTTCTCCACCCTCCTTTTGACCCGTGAGTTGCACAGGTCCTCCATGGAAGGCAGGCTTGCACCAATGATCTTTTCTGCAACCCTGACTGTCCACTGGAGTCTGTTCCTGTCACTGTCTTGGATGAGACCAATGAGCGTTGTGTCATCTGCAAACTTTAGGAACTTGACAGAGGGTTCCTTCGAGATGCCGTTGTTGGTGTAGAGTGAAAACAGCAGAAGGGAGAGCACACATCCCTGGGGGGCACCTGTGCTGATTGTTTGGGTGCTGGATATGGTTTTTTCCAGCCTCGCTGTTTCCTGTCAGAAAGCTAGTAATACACTGACAGGTGGGGGCAGGCACAGTGAGCTGGGTCAGTTTGGAGTGGAGGGTGTCCAGAATGATGGCGTCGAGGTGTTGCAGGATGTGATGCAGTGCCATGTTCACTGCATCATCCAATGACCTGTTTGTCTGGTAGGCAAACTGCATGGGGTCCAGCAGGGGGTCTATGATGTCCTACAGGTGGGCCAACACCAGTCTGTCAAAGGACTTCATAACTACAGATGTCAGGGTGACAAGTCTGTAGTCGTTCAGTCCACTGTTGGAGGTTTTCTTGGGGACTGGGATGATGGTGGAGCATTTGAAACAGGAGGGAACTTCACACAGCTCCAGTGATCTGTTGAAGATGAGTGTGAAGATGGGGGCCGACTGATCAGCACACACTTTTGTCCCTGGTGGGACTGTTGACGTGCTGTCTGTATTTGGGCAGTTCATGGGAGAGATTTGCTCTGTTAAAGTCACCCAGAACAATGAGTGGGGAGTCAGGATGTTCTAGCTCCATGCTAGTTATCTGTTTGGCCAGGAGCTGTAGTGCACTAGCGTGGGCCTGCGGTTTTAAGTACAATCAGAATAAAACTTGAAAATTCATGGGGAGAATAAAAAGTTTGCAACTGATAAAAAGAGTCTCTAAGTCCTTGTTACAGTACATGTCCTCTGTAGCACCGTGACATCTGTGCACCAACCTTCATTTATGTAGTGACAGATTCGTCGTCCTCTCATTTTCCCGGACAGCTCCATTATGCGATTAGCTTTGTACACCTGGAAGCCCGGTACTTGGATTGTGCTGTCCGTGATGGAGTCGCTGAGCCAATTCTCCGTAAAGCACAAAGTGGTAGAGCGTGCAAAGTCAGAGTTAGTCCTGTTGACGAGAAGGAGTTCATCCATCTTGTTGTCTAGTGAGTGGACATACACTAGGTGGATGGACGGGAGTAGAGCCTGGGTCCCTTTCTGGCATAGCCTGACTAAGGCGCCCGCTCGCTTACCTCATCGGTGCTTCCTCCAGGTCCCATAGATTGCAGCTGCACCACTGATCAGAATGTCCACACAATGTTCTTCATCCACAAAAAATGGTAAATGGACTGTATTTATATAGCGCATTTTTCCACAGTGTGTTGCACTCGCCAAAGCGCTTTACAGGAGATGATACACCATTCACACATCGATGACAACAGGCTGCCACACAACAGCGCTAGTCAAGCCACCAGGAGAAATTCGGGGTTCAGTGTCTTGCTCAGGGACACTTAGGCATGCGGGGAGACCGGGAGTCAAACCACCAACTTGCTGGTCAGGAGACGACTGCCCTACCTCGTGAGCCAAAACCACCCCACAAAAGTTGAAGAAAGGTGGTTTGGTGTGAGTTGTCCGATGTTTAACAGTTCTTCTCTGGTGAAAGTAATCCGGGATAGGTTGCAAAAGACAGAGGCAACAAGGAAAAACAACAAACACAGGAGAGCACTAGTACACAAGGCAGCCATAGTTGTCAGCACCATCTTGATGTATCAAGTAATTTGTACCTTCTGGTTATGGGAGTGATGACAATTGATGAACAGTGTCATTTCCAGCTGTAGCAGGCAGGTGGGGGTCAGTGAAAAAGTTCAGATAAACTTGCTTAAAGCAGCTAGCAACAAACAGATAAAGTTAGCAACTATGTGCTCTCACACAGTGTAGAATTTTGTAGTTAAAGAGACAGATTCATTTCCTTCAGGAGGTAGTGTAGACCAAGTCAGAGCTAAAAGGAGAATTAATATGGACAAACATTTGCCAAAGGTTCAAAATGGTGACTCCAAAAAGATGCTAATGTTGCACCATGTGTGCTGGATATACCTTTACATGTTTGCAGTATAAACTTAATGAAGTGATAATGTCAGTGATGACGATGATTTGATTTGATTTGATTTATTCTTTCAAGCATGTAAAGACAGTTGATATGACAACACACATGATTGTACACATAATCCAATATCAATTTGCTTATACCTAGTACATGCTTGAATGGAGTAGGAAGAAGTCAGACTTATCCAGTCCTACCCCATGACATCATCTTACCATCATTGGTTTGCAAGCAGTAAATGATTCTCTTCTACACCACACAAGTATTATACTAAAAAAATTATAACAGTGTTAACATTCTTACATAATTACATTCTTAAATAATTATCTTCTACACCACACAAGTAATATACTAAAGAATTGTTACAAAGTGTTAACATTCATACACCACACCCACAATGTTCCATCTAATTAATCATTGAGCCTGTTCTTGCATATATCTTGATTGACACATACCTTTATATTTATGTTTAAACTCATCAATTCTCTTACTATTACATAAACACAGCAGTCTTATATCCCACTAAATCAAAATATTTTAACAATTTAGACTGTATGAAAGCTACATTGGTGTGATCCCTGTACCCCATCTTATGCACAATTCTTATCGCTCTTTTTTGTAATATATACAATGGTTGAAGTGAGCTTTTGTATGTATTTCCCCAGTTTTCAACGCCATA